ATACATGAATTAAGTTTGTGTGCGGTCTGCACTAAGGGCTTACACAAATGGATGTCAGGAGTAAACGGAAGAAGTGTAATCCTCTCTCTGTGGACCAAAGACAGTCACGTAGCTTCTTTGAATCTCTGTGTCTCTTTTGATGGATAATATACTTACCTCCTAGGCCTGCAAGCATTTGAAAATGTGTAATAGCATTCATTGCTTTTATACAGCCATGCACTACCAACTTTCCTGGGTACCAGCTTTTCTGCGCTTGCAGTCAGATGTTCTAAGTATAACATCTCACTGGCTGCAATGGACCATTGGCAGAGGGTGATTTATGCTTTTGGTAGGAAGGAAGTCTTTACTCTGTGGAGCTCTTGGTTCTAAATGGTGGAGAGGTGACACTTGCCTCATTCTCAAAATAAACTGTTAGAGGAAGAAATTAAACCCATTTGATTGCCACCTTCCCATCAAAAGGCAAGCATGTATAAACACCTTTGGAAACATTCCAAGGTAGAACAGAATGGAATTTGCTTGTTTGCCCAGCTGCTGTCTTCCCTGAGGTGCAACTTTGTCCAGCCAGGAGGAAGGTTGTCCTCACGGCTCCACTTTCCAATGCCTCAGCCCTTGAAGGTGCCAGGGTATGTGAGTCCTGCCATCACAGTGTGAGACATAACGGATCTGGCACCTCAGATGATGCTTTTTCAATGGGAAAGATAGGGAATTTACAGTGGGTTTATGCAAGTCCATAGTTTATGACAGATGTTGAAGTAATCTGTGTACCTCCTGCGCTTGTACTTCATGGGCTCTGGCTTGTAGAAGACTTGTGATTTAACAGTAGTCAGCAAATATTTATTTGTGGCTCAGGAATATGTCTTACATGTAATATGGGAAGATACCTTTCAGTTGTAAACTCAAGACTTTCCTCCTTTTCCACCAAATTGCCAAGGAAGCAATTTTTGAGATTTATTGCTGTGTTGATGGTCTTTGGCCTTGGAGTGATTCTTTGCTATTTTGTTTTAGATAGTATGACAATTTTTTGCCTTGCTTTTGGGAGAAGTGGTGTTCTTTAGTTCTTTCATAAGTCTGTGAAAAGTAGCAGGTTAAAAAAAATTCTTTTTTTTGTTTTGTTACAATATAATGAAGGCCTAATTCTAATTAGAGGTAGATGTAAAAAACCCCCCCCAAACTATCTGCTATAAGAAATGCTATTTTGATTTGAGGTTGGCTTGTCTTTAACAAAAGGAATCATCCTCCGGTTAATTCAAAGGTGCTTTTTTTCCCCTCCCCGCCCCGAGACCTCTGTGACAGATAGGAAGATAAGTTTTATATTTCCAAAATAAAGCACTGTCTTTAAGAGGAAAGGATATGTCTCTCTGTAAAAGGAATGAAGTGATATATAATTTCTAGTCCTAGCTTTTTTGTTTTAAGGAAAAAGGAAGACAAACAAACTGGCCTATTGCTCTTTAAAAGCTTTTATTACTGCTCTGGGCCCCTGGAAGATGCTGGTTCTGCCACCTTTAGCTCAGAGATCTCTTAGGTGGGCTCATATGACCAGAGTAGTTAAACCAAATAAATGGTCCCAATATATCTACCCTCCCTCCCACCCTGCCCCACTGAAAAATCTAAGAAGCTACAGGTTGTTTTTTTTATTTAAAAAACATGTGGAGGGCATCTCTATGGCTTGTGTTGGATGGAAGATCCTGTTGCCCTCTGTTCCTGCAGCCCTACGGTACCAGTCCCTGATGTTCTTGTGCCATTCTGTCCTGCTTGTCTACTCATTTATAAATCTATCAGCCCCTCCAGGGGAAGAGGGAATAAAAGGTGAATCTGCCAAGTGAATTTTGATAGGGGAAAAAGATAAAGGAGAATATAGTGTCCTATGAGACTTGTGCTGATAGCTTTTAGTTGTCTAACGTTATCACCTGTGGTCCACACAATCCTTTCCACACATCATGGTTGCATTTCTGTCCTTTTTTTCTGTTTTCTCTGAGCTGCCTAGGTGAGCAGATACTAGCCCTTGCTGGGAAGGCAGGGACGGATAGCTCTGCTGTGCCTCCAGCCCTCGCAAGGCTGGGATAGCAGAACGTGCAGCTCTCAGGTCAGGGCAAAGGCTGGTACTACTCAGTATCAGTCAGTAGAAGCTATTTAGGGAAGTGAGAAATAAGGTCTGGCTGTGAATAGGGTAACTTTTTCCTCCAGTATAAATTCCCAACTGCGGGCAGCCAGTGATTTAGGAATTGCTTGCACTAGAGGCCACATCCAGACTGTCTCATTGATGGCCACAGATGAGTTTCAGATGACCAGCAGCCAACCTGCTCTTCCTGCCCAGGGGCTCTCCCCAGCCTCTCCTCCCGGGCAGGACCCAGCCGCGGGGCCAAGGTGTCAAATACATGAAGTGCCCGTACAAATTTTGGAAAAGTTAATGGCTGGGTAGAGGAGAGAAACCCAAACTGGGCTCTGGAGTGACCACAGCGCGAGCTCAGCAGTTCGACCTGCCGGCTGGCAGGCAGGACCACGCGTAACACAAAATCAGCCGAAGCCTGGCCTTCACGGACCAGCTCTTCACAAAAGCCTCTGCCTGAACCGAATGCTTTAAAAAGGGTGCTGCCAGTTGCCAGATGTTTCTTGTTTCAGAAATAAGTAGCACCACAGAGGGCTCTGCTGCTCTGTGAGGCTGGTTTGGGAGTGCTGGGCTCCTGTCTCTGAGCCCTGCCCGAGGGACTGGGCTGGCAGCCCTCGATGGCATTAGTCTAGAGCTGTGACTTGTTGTGGAGGGAGAAAGGGCACACAATACCATTTTCTCCTTCAGCCAAGCTAATTCCCACATTTTCCTCTTTCCCACTTGATGTACAGGCTTTATTTGTCTTTCTCCAGCATTCAGTTTCCTTTGCTTATCTGCAATTCTGCAGCCTTGAATAACACCGTGTCCTTCCGAGAGATGTTAACCAGAGGTTGCTTTCCCAATTACTGATTTAACAAACAACAACTGGAGAAATATTTGATAGCTGGTTCCTTTGAAAGCAAGAGCATATCTTGGGGACAGAGAGCATTTTATGCATTAGTAGTGCACTCCCTTTAGCCCAACGTGCCTTCTTGTGCCTCCGGGTCTTTGTTGTCAAACCCCTGGGGTAGAGCGGTGGCAGCAAATGGGCACCATGATTAGGCCAGACAAGGTGGGAAGGGAAGAGAGTGTCAAATGGCAGGAGAGAAATTGAGTATTTGTCCTGAACTGGGTGGGAGGGAAGTTGGAGTTGAGCTAGACTGGTAATTTGCATTCAGAGTTGAGAAATTATTTTTAATCAATTTTTTTTTCTGTTCAATTTTCTATTGTAATTACATGCCAAAATGACCATTACCGGGCACCTCTGCTCATCAGCTTTATGGATTGGTGTCAGCTTCAGCTCTGGGAATAATGTATTTTAGGTGCTGTTGTGACTGTAAGAAGGCACTAGCAATTGTCATTCAACACACTGAAAAAGTAGATAATAAAAGCAGGTAACTGTGGTTGCTGTTTAAAGCAGATGTTGATAAAGAAGTCTGGAGACATGAGTTCTGCTTCCCTCTCTGCCTTGTGTTTCCTCTTTGAGCCAGGGGAAGCTAGTGCTCTTTTTTGTGATCCTGTGGTTCAGCTCCTCTAAAGCGACATCAGAGCCTCCTAACACGTACCCTTGCATTTGGTACCTGCAGAAAATGTTCATTGTCTTTCCCACACAATAGGATGACTATATTTTAACACTGGGACTTCTGAATTTCAACCACTGATTAGTCCAGCAGTAACTGGTGTCGCAGTCTGTAGCTGTGGAAAAGCAAGACAGGTTGTACTGCTTGGCCCTGCATCATTGATCGAGCTCTGTTCCTCTACTCGGGAATCTTGTTCAACATTTCTAAATTTAGATCCCTCCAGTAAAGGGAAGTCAATTTGCTCTCTGAAGTTGAGAAATTGCCCACAACAATTAGGAAGTGCTACAACCATTAAGTGATTCTGATTGCATCTGTTTCTAAGCGTGACAAAGCTTCTCCCAATGGCTGCAGAAGGGTGCTGCAGAGGCAGCAGTATCGCAGGGCAGGAAAGCACCGATGTCTGCCTGGGTGATTTAACAGACCTAATGCTACGCGTAGCCTGATGTCGTCCTTTGAGATCATCAACAGAAAGCATGAGCTGATTCACCCTCTTGGGGTGGACCTAAATCTGAAACTCAGTTGCGGGAGGAGGCTTGGGTCTCTCTGTGGCAGGAACAGCAGCTGCTGCTGATCACGGCGTCCCGAGACGCTTGTGTCGTCCGTGCAGATCACAGTTGTTTTGAACCGCATGTGGCAATTATATTTCTCCTCAAAGTGAGCTCAAGTGAAGGGCATTAACTGTGCTCAAGTGAAAGACGTTAATTTTAATACATAGCATGTCTCAAATTTCCAACTCTGTATGTGTATGGAGACCTCGTGTACGAAAGTATCATTTCAAGTTTAGATATTGTCTCAAAAGGGATAAAATGACTCCATTAATGTGGCATTTGGGGCTAGTTTTCTTTACACAAAATGTGACTGATTGAACAGCTTTTTCTCAGTTATAAACATTTAGGATTGAACACAGCAGTCTGTGTGTATGTGATATGCATTTGTGTATTTACATACAGCCATGCTGTGGTAGACATGCTAACATATACATTCACACTATTCTATACTTACGTATTACCAATATGGGGTATATTTTAAGTACTATCTATGCCATCTCAAGAGAGCTGCGTACAATAGATCTGACCTTGGAAAAGATACCAAGGGTAATAATACACACTGTGGTTAGTGTTTGTGCACTTTCTGGGCATATCAGAAGCACAAACAGTGCATAAATATGGAAGGACAGTGTCTTGGAATAATTTCTTTTCAATGCAAAACATATCAAATGTTAATCTAAGTTGCTTTTTTTTGTGAATAAGAATCTCAGAAGGAAAGGGGAAAGTTAGTGGTGAATGAAGTTGGATTTTTTTAGTTGATATTTGTTTAATTTTGTGTTATTGCAGAAACTGGAACACAAAGAAGTTTTGGTTGGCTTGTTGTTCCTGGTTTTCCCATTCATCCCAGCCAGCAACCTCTTCTTCAGGGTGGGATTTGTGGTGGCAGAGCGAGTCCTTTACATGCCGAGGTAACTATTGCAATTGAATTCCTTTCTAATGAGACCACCATCCCATTTTCTAAAAGCAGGCATGATTACTTCTTCCCTTTTACAATACTTCAAACATTATATTGCTAGTCAGTGTGTTTTCTGCCTTTGAGTTTTGGCGTGATAGCATGGGAGATTTTATAGTTGGTTGAGAGCAGATTGCTTGGCAGGAGCAAAGCTACCCAAAATCCTTTCTCTTTTTTTTAACACAGATCTTTTTGGTGTGCTTGAAACAGCTCAATACAGTAATGAGATGTTGTTTCTTGAGGTTTCTCCTCCAAGACTCTTTCTCTTGGTAGCATTATCAACTTATATCGTCCAATGTCTTTACCTTAAGGACAGTATCTGAAAAGTTAACCTGTCATATTTTTAATTGTGGTAATGCTCAGCTTTCCCACTTCATTAGGTGGTCAGTAAAAACAAAGGTAACAGTATTGCTGTCTTAAAAGGCTGCTGGCTACAGTTGTGGAAAATGCGCATGCCCTCCAGCCTGTATGCTATTGACTGCATGCGCATCTAGGAGTGGAGGATTTGCAGTTGTTGAAGAGGATGAGGAAAATCCAGCCACTCCTCCATCCCTTCAGCCTCTTCCCTGGGATTTCCCTCAGCTTCCAGCCTCTAACAATTGTCACTTCAGCAGCCTGGGTGCTTCCAATTGCATTTACTCAAGGACAATTTTGAGGTGTTATTTCTGACATGTCCACAGTATCCAGACCAGAGGCTGCAGTGGCAAAGGACATTGATCCAAGATGCACCAGACCATTGCCCATTTCACAAAATCATGGAATGTTTGAGGTTGAAAGGGACTTCTGGAGGTCACCCAGTCTAAAACCCCTGCTTGAGCAAGGCCACCTAGAGCCGGTTGCCTGGGACCATGTCCAGATGGCTTTTGAATATCTCCAAAGAGGAGACTCCACAACCTCTCTGGGCAGCCTGTGCCAGTGCAGTTTGTTCCAGCCATGAGCATAAATGGTCATTCTTGGATGCTGCAAGTCAGAAATCCCAATTCTACTCTCAGATGCAGAGGGTCAGCATCTGTTATCTCTGATGGGAACTGCCATTGTGGAGGTGTCGACAAAGCACAAGTCCTCAATTTCGCTCTGGATTATTGTGTGATAAACTGAAACAATAGTTTTATTCCACAAAGTGTTTAAATTGTATTCCTCAGAAAATGTGGATCCAAAAATCTGAAGAAAAACGCTTACAGGTCTTCTTTTGCAAAGCCATATGCATATTCTGACGGTCATTTGTATAAGCACTAACACAAAAGGGCTGCTCATTGGTGTAAAACTTAAGTTGTGTAGGAGCTGTTGCATTTATTACAAGCTGCTTATGCAGTTAGGCTGTATCTCTGTGCTCTGCTATACACTGATTTACTTTTTGGGTCAAATCCTGCTGACTTTATTCACATCACTAGCCCTGCTTTTGTTTGCTGGGAGTGTACCTGGAAGTATAGTGAGTGAAAGTTGTCCCTCGGAGTTATTTTGCAAACGATACCCTCAACTAATGGATCTTGCATCATTTCAAATTAACTTGGAAATCAGATTGCTTTAAATTCATGTAACAGAAAATGAGGAAACACATGAAAGCGCAAAGCTATTAAGGAAACAGTCAGCTGAACGCAGGGCTGTGTGGAGTGGTTGCATTTCTGAATCTCAGAAGAACAACTGCAGAAAATACTTGAGCCGTCAGCAGTTCCTTGTCCTCCTCCAGATGAGACTGCTGATATAATGAGAGGAGGGGCAATGAAGAAGAAAAAAGGAGATGTTTGCGCAGAGAAAATTAATCAGCGTTAACATGTGTGCATATAGTTTATGTAATGCTTTTCATCTCCCTGAGGGCTTTGCAAATATATGACCTACAAAGTAGGTAATTGGTAGTTGCTGCCTTTTTTCAGGCAGGAAAACTGAGGTAGAAGGATTAAATGATTTATCCGGAGTAAGTCTCTGACAGAGTCCCTGGATCTCATACTTTGCTCAGATCACTCATGTCCTGCTTTGCAATATTTGGTTTTTGCTCTTACCCCAGGCTGGCAGGCACCTGGCATGAAAAGGGAAGGCAAACCCTGGCAGTTTGGGAGAGAGGTGAGCAATTTCCAGCCAAAGGATCTGGAGGGAGCTGAGCTCTTGGCTCTGAGTTACCAAGAAATGAGCTCTCTCACATCCTCCAGGTACAAAATGACATGAGTGGTGAGGGGGACTTCTGCAAACATTCATGACTATGGCAGAACAAAAATAATGTGGTTTTTTTTCTTTCCCTTAGGAGCGTGGCAGTTTAATAACGATGGCTTTAGGAAGGGTTCGCGTTCTTTATTTAGAACAGCCTTTAGCAGTTTTCTTATGTTACACCTTGTAATAGGCTTTTCCTATCTTTTGCCATTCCTTCTCTAAAAGTCAGTTAGCAAGTCAGAGGTGGTCATTCAGCTTTAGTTAGACAAAAGTCCTCAATCACATGGAGACAACTCGGTCATCTATGTTTTTGGGCTTATGCTAGAAGGTGCTTTTCTATCTCTGTTTCAAGTAATAGCCTTTTATTAACGTTTATGGATGTGATAGTTGCGTATGTGTGTTACAGCCTGAAGTCCTGATTCAGTGTTGCTCAGTAGTTACCTGGGCAAAATGTCAGGCATTTTCTTTTCAATAAAAGTTAAGTAAGGACCCAAGGATTTATGTAAAAGGTGTTGTAAGTAGAAAGGAACAAGGAATAAGCCTTTTGCTCGATGTCTAATTATATGGCTGGGCCTTGCCTTCTGGGGATTGATGGGTATTTGGAACAATTCCTCTTCTGCCTGCAGCTGTGTCTCAAGGGAGAGGGATATAAGCTAAGTCAAAATGGTTGAATGTTTTCTTTAATTGGCTTTAGCAAAACAGAAATATTTTGAGAAAATATTTGAGGGTTACAAGCACTTACTTGTTTAAATCAGGAATTTTTAATAATAGTATTACTTTAGCGTAAAAAAATTCATAGGAAAACAATTTATTGTCTTTCAACTTTTAATTTTAATTTTGTTGTTGTTTTCCTATCCTTAAGAGGGGAAAACTTGTTTTCAGGAGGGCTAGAGGTACGAAATACGTATCTTGGGAGTGGTGGACAGGATACAACTCTATAGGCCACAGTTTTCCGAATGGGCATCACAATAAATAGCTGGATCAGTGAAAGATTTAAACCACTGTGGGTTTTTCCCTTTTCAAAATGTGGATGTAATTATGCTTACTGCATATCTGCTAATGCTGCTCAGAACACCACAGACAGCCTAATTGTTTGAAAATCCAGAACGACTATGTGCATCCACTTACTCTGAGCTGTGGGCAATTTGTCTGTACTTAAGTAGGAGTACTAGCTCTTCCTCTGTGTTGCCCTTCAGCATGCAGAAACTGGAGAGGCAATGCAAACTCTTGGTCCATCCAGGAGCTGCCTGCCCTACTGATGTACCAGCAGAGCTGGGGTTTCTCTCACCTCATGGGATCGGACCTTTCCTACCAGAGCAATTTCTACGTTTTCCTCATTTTTCATGGCTACCTTGATAGCAGTGGCTCCTGGCTGGGCTGCTGTATCGTAGCTGGACAACTTAAGCTGTTTTCACAACCTCATATGAACCAACAAATCAACCAAAACATTGCTACATGGCTTATTTCCAATTTGTTGAAAGCAATAGGCAATCCAGTGATACCTGCACCATTTTTATGGCAACTCATTCGTGGTGGATATTGCAATGAGTGGGTTGCAGAGTGCACAGTTACTCTTT